AGTCCACCAATGACCACACCCATATAGAACATTTCATGTTTCAGTGTGACCAAACTGAACTCAATTGATGAACGATCTGCAGAAATGGACAAAAAAACATATTAATTACACTATTACTTAAGGATGGGATTAAACACACTTAAAAACACGCACCAAAAAGCAAGTAAAACACCTGAATTATAAAATGGCGACAAACGTCAAGTTCACATTAAGACAGGTCACATTCGACAGACGCGATGTCAATTTTTGATGTAGACAATAGATATTATTAAAATACCATAGGTGCCACGATAAAGTCAATTTAGGCTGTGTACAATAGATAAATGTTAAACGGAATTCCATAGATTCTGAGAACAACAAGTATTTTAAATATTATAGATACGCCATAACCTCAGTTTATACTGTAGACAATAGACAATTGTTAAAAGAAATGCCATTACATATTAATAAAGAGAATTAATATTAATTATGTAATGTATTCTCACCTTAATTAACTGTAGAAAGTACCGTTATAAAATCTACCAGTATGATGAGCAAACCAAATCTAGAAGAGATGATTTGTCGTTTGAGTGGCTCTCAATTACCTCCCATTCACAACGCCAAAATTAAGTACTTGATGTTGCAAGGTGAAGACATCAAAAGCGTCGATTGTTTCAGTGGCACCAAAATTAATTCCTTCTCATTTGTTGAACCATCTATAGAAACAGACAAGAAAAAGTAATTAATTACCACTTTTAAAGCAAGAAAGTCAGTAACATTTACACTGAAAGATCAATTCCACATTAATTCTGCTGTTCTACATCTGCTATTTCTAAAACATTGTTTAAAAGTTGTCTATTTAGGCAAGTTACAAATGTCTAAGAAAACTCTTTTTTCTGTTAATATTTAATATACTACATATATATGTAGGTATGCTCACCTTAATTAATCAACTACAAAAGCCTCCAAGATGAAAAGTTAACAGATAAAACACCATAAGAGGGACTGGGCATGTTATTTCAGCAGCACCAAAATGAACTTCAATCTCCATACTTGTTCACCTTCAATCTGTAAAAATAGAGAAATAACAATTATTGTATGAAGTAAATAAATAATGAAATAGAATAAAAACACATAAAAAAGCAAATAAAATTGTTACTTTTAAAATGGTGATGTGGCGTGGTTTCTCTTTCAAGATAAGATACAATGTAGATGTACAAAATTCATCTGTTACGCGGAAAAATTTATGTACTTAATCCGTATCTATCCCTTTGGATGAAAAAAAAAATTAAAAACTCGTATTAAATAAATGAAACATGAAATAAAACAAAAACACGTAATCAAAAAAAATAAACAAAATGGCGACGTGACATCTACTTCAAGACATACCTTCAACAACTTTATTAACTTAATTTATGCTGTAGACAAATGCAAAAAATCATAATATGCTATGAATCAATCTCAATAACCTTTCAGGGTATTACACGTAGAACAATAAAACTAATTCTGCGAAAAAATTAACTCAATACGTTGAATTTCAAACGTGAACGGAACATCCTACCGCTACGAACGTACGAACAACTATGAACTTATGATTAACCGAGCGCGAAAGCTATCACATGAAGCTGTGATGACGTACAAAATGCTACGCAAAAGCATCTAATTAGATTTCTGCGACGGTTCGCGGCAAAAGTTTCGTAATTTAATCAATCAATAGAATATAGAATAGAAAATAGTTTTACGTCCTTCCTTGAGATGTAACCTACTTACCCAATAAAAAAACATCAAAACCGGCTCACAATCGGCAAAGAAGAAATAGCGGAACATTGACATAACAAAACAATACATTCGAATTGACAACGAATTAAATAAGTTATAGACACGTAAAAACATGAATAAAAATACAAGAAAAATAATTACAAATGATATTATCTCTACGCATTACTTTTATTATTTATGTATTATTAGGGCTCGAGTCGAAACTTCAAATAATTAATAAATACACAAAATAACGTATTTCACTTCACTTACAATTTAATCATTTTTAGAAAATTAATGTTTTAATATTAACGAAATTGATTTCTGGCTTGACTCTTGGTGGAACATATTTAATATTACGAAATAAAAACATTTGGTATTTTTGTCCCACAATTTTTTATTCACTTTAACTTTGATAATGGCATAACAGTCGAAACAATTGTCAGTTTTAAATAAAAAAAAAATAAATAAAAAATTGTGGGACAAAAATACCAAGTGTTTTTATTTCTTAATAATATTTAACTATATTATTGACAA